TCCGCCTGTCTGTCCAGGCTGATGTCCATAACCCTCCCAGCAATCTTCATGTTGTTCACTCCCGTTCACCATCTGTTGAGACAATTGAGTTTGTTGCCCAGTACGTGGTTGCTGGAACACCTGTCCCTTTGAGTCAGAAATGTAAGCCTGGCTCCTCTCCTTCGTCCTCCCCGGCAAGTAAGAAGGCATCGCTTTCATCCTCACCCCCCCACCTCTGACACTCGCTCCATCCCTTCCATTTCGGTGGTCAGCCCTGTCCCAGCTATGGCGGTTTCTTTAGGTCGATTCCCTCTCAGTTGCTGCCCTTGCCGAGGTGCACACCCCGGTTTCTGCTCCCCCCTTCCTCCTGCTGTCCTTGACCTCCCCTCTAGGTTGTCTCCCCCTCCTCCACACCCTACCCGTCCGCCTCTGGTCTGTCCTCCCGCTCCCTTCACTCAACCCTTACTCAGTTTACCCATGCCCCCCTAACCCTGGATTTTACTGACCCTGATCTTAATATATTGTGTTCTTTACCTTTGTTTCTTCATTGTTCTCTGTTGCTGTCCTTTCTCTTTTTGATAATGTCTATTCTTCAATGGAATATTCGTGGATTTTATGCCAACTTCTGATTACATAGTTTTCACCACTTTGTGTTTGTCTCCCGGAACCGATGCTTGGTGCTCGTCCTGGTCACTTTCGTGGTTATTCCTTTCTTCCTCCCCCCCCAGCTCTGGCTGGGGCCCATAACTCTACTGCTCTCTTGATTTGTATTGATCTTCCCTTCGTCCCCCTACTGTTTCCATCGTCTATCCATTGTTCTGCTGCCCGTGTTTTTGTGAGTAAATGGTATACAGTCTGTTCTATTTATCTCCTCTCAAATGTCCCGCTTTCCCTTCCTAATGTTAAGCACCTCCTGGACTCCTTGCCGGAGCCAGTGCTCCTGTTGGGTGATTTCAACTGTCGACATACCCTCTGGGATGATGTTCAGACAAACACCCGAGGTCACCTTCTCGAACCGTTCGTCCTCTCTTCTTCCGTCTTCTGAATTCTGGTGAGCCCACCCATGTAGACTCTCAAACTCGCACCCTTTCCTGTCTTGATCTTTCTCTCTGCTCGTCGTCCCTTTACTTAGATCTCAAGTGGCGGGTTCTTGATGACCTCCATAACAGCGACTATTTCCCCATCCTTATTTCTTTTTCTCTTTCCACCCTCCCCTCTCCTTCCCTAGGTGGCAGTTTGCCAAAGCTGACTGAAACCTATTCACCCTCCATGCTACTCTCGCTGACCTCTCCTCTCTGCCTCTTCCTCGCGCCCTCCTTTTTTATGACCGTCTTCGGTGCTGCCATCTGCTCTATTCCTCGCTCTACCTCCCGGGGCACGCAGAAGTGCGTTCCCTGGTGGAATGCGGACTGTGCTCGGGCTGTCCGCTGTAAGTGTGCAGCCTGGAAGAAACACCGACGCCAACAGACGGCTGATTCTTTTATTTTGTTTCGGAAAGCAAGTGCGGTGGCCCGTAGGACCATCCGTGCAGCTAGGCATGAGAGTTGGAAATCTTACGTTTCCACCATTACGTCCAATACTCCTCTACCACAGATCTGGAAGATGATCTGCAAGATTGCAGGCAAGTTCGTTCCAGATATCTCGCCGGTTCTTCACCTCTGTGGTACTCTTGTGGTGGACCTAGTGCAGGTCGCGACCGAACTGGTTTCCCACTTTTCTTCTGTTAGCTCTGGTTCTCATCTTCCTCAATCCTTCCTTCTTCGTAAGCCCATTCTTGAATCTCATCCCTTAGATTTCCGCACTCATTTCCGCCTTCCCTATAACGATCCACTCTCTCTTTCTGACTTCGTCTGCCCTGGCCCTCTGCGGTTCTATGACAGCGGGTTCGAATGACATTCATCATGAGATGCTTCGCCATCTCCCTCCTTGCACGTCTCGGTATTTACCGAGTCTGTATAACCAGGTCTGGGAGTCGTCGTCTGCCCATGAGGACTGGCTCGATGCCGTTGTACTTCCTATTCGGAACCCGGGGTCTCTCGGGACATCCCGTAAGGACTTCCACCCTATTGCCCTCACGAGTTGTGTCTGCAAACTCTTTGAGCGTATGGTAAATGTTCGTCTGATGTGGTTCTTGGAACACCACCACCACCACACCTCTCCTCCTCAATTTGGTTTTCGCAAGTGCTGCAGCACAACTGATGTCCCGGTGAACTCAGAGGTCTATATTCGTACTGTTTTTGATGTGGAGACCTCCGTTGTTTTTGTCCTTTTTGACCTGGAAAAGGCTTATGACAACCTGGAGCCGGTCGGCCGAGCTGGACTTGTGATCCTGTGGTCCTGGGTTCGATCCCAGGCGCCGGCGAGAAACATTGGGCAGAGTTTTTTTTTCACCCTATGCCCCCTGTTACCTAGCAGTAAAATAGGTACCTGGGTGTTAGTCAGCTGTCACGGGCTGCTTCCTGGGGGTGGAGGCTTGGTCGAGGACCGGGCCACGGGGACACTAAAAAGCCCCGAAATCATCTCAAGATAACCTCAAGATAACCTGGAGATACCATATGCTGTCCCAACTTCGTTCTTTTGGCCTTCGTGATAATCTCCCTCTCTTCCTCCAAAGCTTCCTCTCTCGTCGTTTCTTTCGAGTCAGGCTTGATACCACACTCTCTGCCTCTTGTCTGCAATACGAAGGTGTACCCCAAGGTAGTGTTCCGAGCACTACTCTTTCTGGTTGCCCTCAATGGTCTTCTTTCGTCCCTTCTGCTATCTTCTCTGCTCTTTATGTCAACGATCTTACTCTTTGCTGTCGAGGTAATGATTCGCTTCTCCGACGGCGGTTTCAACTTGCGATTGATGCCGTGTTGTCTTGGGGCACCCATCATGGCTTCAAGTTCTCTGCAACTAAGACTTGTGCTATGACTTTTACTCTAAAGTATGTCATCCTTCGTCCTTCTTTGTCACTTTATGGTTATCCCCATATATACAAAGATTCTGTGAAGCTTTTGGGGTTAATCTATGACACCTGTTTGTCTTGGTTGTCCCATATCTCTTACCTCAGATGCGTTCCTTTGAAATTAAACTTTAAGCCAGCAGTTCAAGTGCCAACTCATATTATCTGTATAATAACATAAAAATTGTGACATTAGCTCTCCACATATGTCAGTTAGTTGCTTAATTTAGAAACTGTACTTGTGGTCGATCTCGAACCCATTGTTGATGTGACGACTTGTATTGAATTTTGTAACTAGTTCATCAAGATTGTAACTTGCTTAGCTAAATGAATTGTGGGGTTCAGTCCCTGAGCTCATTAGGTGCCTCTGTAACCCTTTCCACTACCGCCCACAAGATGGGTATGGGGCGCATAATAAATGAACTAAACTAACTTAATACCAGAGGTTTCAACATCACACATTGGCGTCCCACCATAACTGACAAGCTCTACCTACTAACTAACAACAAATACATTATTAACGTAAGTAAAACGAAACATTACTAAATTTCTTGCAAGATTGTAACTTGCTTAGCTAAATGAATTGTGGGGTTCAGTCCCTGAGCTCATTAGGTGCCTCTGTAACCCTTTCCACTACCGCCCACAAGATGGGTATGGGGCGCATAATAAATGAACTAAACTAACTTAATACCAGAGGTTTCAACATCACACATTGGCGTCCCACCATAACTGACAAGCTCTACCTACTAACTAACAACAAATACATTATTAACGTAAGTAAAACGAAACATTACTAAATTTCCTTACCAGGAGACATGCCTGTGTGTGAGAGAGGAGGAGGAGGAGGAGGCGCGCGACCGTCCCGACCGAGAGTGGAGGGGCGATTCCGCCTCACTAATGGAACGGAACACGAGATAATTCTTCCCGCGGATTTTTGTTAACTTAACTCAACCCAAACCAACCCAACTGATCCCATCCTAACCTTGAGCTAATACAGCTTAGAATAACAATACATATATATATAAACGCTTTTCAGGAAGAGAAAACGAGCTTCGTTCAAGTGTCTGGTGTCCGTAACGAGCAGTTCTCCAATCGAAGGCAGTTAGCACACTTTGGACTATAATTTATTTACTTGTATACAAGAAGTTACATTGGGTTTGTGAGGATACATAGCATGGTATTCACAATCTTGTAAAGCCACTAGTTTCGGGCAGGTCCTTAATGTAAGAGATAATATTACAGCCTGGCAGCCGTCTTCATGGCCTCTCTCCCCACTAGTCTGGGGTCACAGGCAAGGTGGGTGGCCACGCTGGCTAGGCCTTATACGGTTGGTTTTCATTATTTTCTACCACAGACGTGGCCATACATATGAATTACATATATATGTTGTACCTAGTAGCCAGAACGCACTTCTCGGCCTACTATGCAAGGCCTGATTTGCCTAATAGACCGAGTGATTTTCTTTATTTTCAAAATATTGTTTCCAATTAGTTTATTTTAAATATTGTTACTATATTAAGTTAAGAGCATAAATTATTGACTTATATTAATTTAGGTTAGGTTAAGGTTGGTTAGGTTAGGTTAGGTAAGGTAAGGTTAGGTTGGTTATGTTCGGTCATATATCTATGTTAGTTTTAACTCAAATGAAAAGAACTTGACTCATACCTAATGAAATGGATAGCTTTATTATTTCATATGAAAAAAAAATCGAAAAATATATAAATTCAGGAAAACTTGGCTTTAGGCAAATCGGGCATTGCATAGTAGGCCAAGTAACTGCATTCTGGCTACTAGGTACAATATGTATGTATACATAATAAGATGAGTTAGGTGCCGTGAGTTGATGAGTATTGATGGACTCCTGTTGTGCCCTCAGGTTGTGGTGGGTATCTTGTATTCACCTAGTTGTGCTTGCAGGGGTTGCTCTGCTCTTTCGGCCCGCCTCTCGACTGTCAATCAATCAACTATTACTAACTACTAACTAAATTCCCCCCCCCCCCATACACACCCCCAGGAAGCAGCTTGTAACAGCAGTCTAACTCCCAGGTACCTATTTACTGCTAGGTAACAGTATCTAGGTATCAGATATCTAGGTATCAGGGTGAAAGAAACTCTGCCCATCTGTTTCCACCGACAGCCGGGATTGAACCCGGACCCTGGGATTACGAGTCCCAAGCGCTGTCCATTCAGCCACGACCCCTGTGCTCCTGCTCTCCTTCTGATCATAGGGCCATGTAGCTGAATTTTGCCTATTTGGGTTTACAATATTGAAGAGGCCTTCATGATACAGTATAGCAGTTTGGCTTAGACTTTGTTCGCCTACCCACAGGAAGCCCGATACATTGTCATCTGGGGGTCCCTGGGTGTCAATAGTCTTCTAGTTGGTTCTCTGTGTAGGGTGTGGATCTAGCAATCATCTCCCTTGGGGAGACTAGGGTGTCACTGAGCCTCCTCCATATCGTGCACTTATCTACTGTGAGGCACAGCATTTTTTTTTTCAGCCAACCTTTGAGCTTTGATTTTTCCATTATCTATAAAGAACAGCAATGATCAACTGATGCCATCAACACATCATGCCCCTTTTTTTTTTTATACCAGTACTGTATATACAAAGAGTTCTTACATTCTTGTAATTAACTTGTATCAACTGGCAACAACACCAACATTTTTCTTGTCAAATAATTAACACTGACATGCCACTGTGATGCATCTCGCATTACCACTGGTGCAGTTATTGGGAAGAGTAAATGTCATGCAAACTGCATGTGCCATAAAGAACATCTAACAGGAGGAGGTAGCTTGCCAAGAACAGCAAGAGCACTGCATGATTCCTAGTTCACCTTCGATCCAGAGTGGCCATTTGGCTAGTGCTCTACCTGTTGCTGACCAAAACATATTGCCAGTGGATCTCCTTAGTACTGTTCAGCATTCATGGTCAAAGGTACTTAATGATACAATGCCTGGGTTCACATGAGAGTTGATAATATATATTTTTTTAACATTTCCTGGTTAGTTCTTGGGGTGGATGTCGAGTGTGTGGTGCTGGTTTGGCCAAGAGGTACCAGGGGTCAATGTGCCGGAGGTGGTTTAACATTGAATTTTTAATCCTACCTAATTCAATTTTTATCTTATTTCAATCTTACCCAACAAAAACTAATCAAATCCATTGCAACCTAATCTATTCACATATGATTTTAATAATTTATTACCAATCTTTGTTTAAAATGTGTACAATTTTACTGTACCCCATCTTGAAGGGTTCCTGGTGTTTTTGGGATATGGTGGACATCTGGCACTTGTTACATCAGACATTACTGGAAAACATTACAGCATTTTTGCCCAGCTTGGGTTGATTTAAAGGGGAGCCATCATGATTTTGCTGTTAAGCTTGTGATATTTGTTTAGCTACTTAGTGATCAAATATTATCTGATATTTATATCATCTAGGATTGCTGGGTGTCCAAAATAATCTAACAGCTGGTCCCTTGTGGGAGGTGGGAATCTGGTTTCTCTGTCTCGGAAAAAATGTGGAGAATAATGGTTATGAGCTCTTGAATATACAGTAGTTATATTTATTTTATGTAAAGTGAGCCTAAGTTTGATCTGCACAAGTTTTCCAGGAATATAATTCTCACACACAGCAAGGGTTCACAATAAGGCTTGTTTGTTTCTATTACCATAAGTTATTCATTTAACATAATAACTTTGAAGGCTTGCAGATTTAAGGCTTTGTGTGGTAACATTATTTGAAATCTTTCTGCAGGTGATATCAATTTGATTATGTCAGAAGTTTCATCTAGTATGGAGCTGCCGCCACTGCCTGGTGCAGATGAAGAGGTTGGAGAATATTACTTTGAATCTGACCCTTTAGCCCTGAAGGACAACAGTGACTACCAACAGTTGATCAAGGCAATGGTCAGACTACAAGCACAACGTGCAAAGGCTGTTAAGGTAACTAAACACATTTTGTGTGATATATTCAACATTTACAGTTAAGCAAAGAATGTTGTAAGCAACAGTGTAAGTTAAGGCATTTGAATGCATTATAAATAAAAAAAATTTAATTTATCAAGATTGGCTGAATTTTTGTTCAAATTCTGGTCATTACATAATGTGTGCACTGGTGAATAATTGTCATATACTGTAGTTATAATTTTTAAATGGAATTGTTCACCAATGTTTATTCTATCATATGCCATGGTCAAAACGAAGAATGCATGATAAATTAATTTTGTAACATACGGTACAGTACTATTTAATTTAGTATTGGGGAAAAGTGGTTTATGAAGTGACAAACCTAGATGAACATTACAGTGGATGTAAGCCCGGTGTCTGATGGATTGGATGAAATACATTACACAACTAACCAATCTCTCCACCATATACTGTAGTTCGGTTAAGCAAGTTCACACTGTTTAAAGAAAAAATATACAAGAATCTAAAGTTTGGTGTGGTGAGCTCAATGTCTTTTGGATGGGGTGGTTGGTCCTTATTTATTTTTCCCACTTCTCTCTGAGGGGATCTTGCTTCCTTAGGGGATGGTTGTGATACTCATGATGGTTTCACTATCCTGCTGTCATGTATCCCTTTGCCTAAAGGCCTTTTCCTTGTAGTGGAGTGCTCTTAAGAGGGAAGTTTCTCTTCTGTGCTCTGCAAGAGTGCTCTTCAGAAGGGGGACTTCTCTTTTGTGATCAAGTTTAGATAAGCCTGCCCAGTCATGCCAGTGATCTAAATAGTAGTAGTTAAGCCCAGGTATTCTGTGCCCTTCAGCTGGTCATCAGGGGCATCTACTGGGCTTTGCTGGAAACTGTGCAGAAAACTGGACTGTTTTCTAAGAGAAGTTCCAGATCAGCCAGGCTGTGGTGGGTATGTGGGCCTGCGGGCCGCTCCAAGCAACAGCCTGGTGGACCAAACTCTCACAAGTCAAGCCTGGCCTCAGGCCATGCTTGGGAGTAGAACTCCCAGAACCCCATCAAGCAAGCAAGCAGGTGCTCCTGCCCTCTCGGATGTTTGTATCCTGCCCAGTTGTCAGTCTTTCTAATCCTCACTGTCATTTGTGACAGAAGTGTGAGTACAGTGTTGTGAACCATTTCCTTCAGGTTAATGTCTCTTCTATTTCTAGGGGCAAGAAAATCTTAGCAAAGTCTTGGTTCATTTTAGATGTGATTGGATTCTGGTGGAAGCAGTGCTTCTAGATTCTTGGGATTTAGCCCTCAATGTCATCTATAGTTGCAGAGTACTGAATGTGCTTATGTATGGTCTTTTCTGCCTCTGTCCTGTTTCAATGAAATGTAAGGTTGACTGGACCTTCCTTCTCTAAATATTTGAAGGATATTTCCTCTTGAGTGGGTCAAAATGTCACCCAGGAGCAAGGCCTACTCACAGTACCCTGGGGCCAGATTCACGAAGCAGTTACGCAAGTACTTACAAACGTATGCATCTTTCCTCAAACTTTGACGGCTTTGGTTACATTTATTAAATAGTTTACAAGCATGAAAACTTCCCAATCAACTGTTATTGTTATAAACAGCCTCCTGGTGCTTTGGAGCTCATTAACTGTTTAATAATTGTAAACAAAGCCCCCAAAAATTGAGAAAAGATATACAGGTTCGTAAGTGCTTGCGTAACTGCTTCGCGAATCTGGCCCCTGGCCATGCCAGTGATCTAATAACATTACACTCAATGCTCTCTTTCTCAGAGTTGATGCCTCCCAATCTCATAAAGTGGAAAGTAAGGAAAATTGAGACATAAACAGTACTACAGTATAGGTTTAGCTGTTTTATAAAAACCTTGCCAGACAATTTTAAATTGATCAGTGTTGAGAGACCCCATTTAATCTGTGTATTTTAGGAGGATACAAATTTGTATATTTTGTTTACATCTTGAATCAGTGTTACACATTATTTGTTAATTAGACTTACTGTACACATCTTAACTTCAAGAAGCTTATTATGGCATGATTGTTGTAATAATTTATTTTTAGTTTGTCCTTGATAAGAAGCACTGTGTACTGAAAACAATAATTTAGTAGGCTCTGGTGATTACCTCTCCAGCCTCCATGCATTTACATGTTCTGTATGTTGTATGGCTTCTTCGATAAAAAATAGAGTGCCAGTTTTGATAGCCTTAGGAATTGAGTATTTTGTTGCTCTGTAAATATACATTAGTTACCAGTAGTATTCTAATTATTTACTGTCTAAGGATATGGAGCAACTGCAAGAGGCTAGAGAGGAAGCCTTAAAAGATCCTTTAACATTTGTAACGGCACTCCAAAATGGTGTTTGTTTGAATCTTCCCGGGCCACAGGATATCACTCAGGTATGTAAATACTTATAAAGAGCAATCAAGTACTTACTATGCTAAATAAATTAATGTAAAAATGATAATATGAAAATTCATTCAGTTTACTTATTCAGTATAGTAAGCTTAAAGTATAACCTTCAGAATCTGAGACCTCTTTTTATAATGAATGCAGAGCAACTTCACTTATTCACATTCATTATTAAAAAACGCTGTATCTGTAGTTTAAATACAATTTTTTACAAGGTGTGTTTGGTAGTTTTGCAAGTAGGATGGTTTTAGTTACAAGTAGCCTGCATTACCATTATCCTACATGTCTCTGTTGTTTTGGCCTGTGCTCTGTGTGACTTCTCTCAACGACAGTCTTCACCGCAGTACCCCATCCATAATGAGTAACAGGAGTTACAGTAGGTTTAGGAAGTTGGCAGTTCCTGGTCCCATGATTTGTGGGATTTCTGGGGGGATTGTTTCCCAGAGTCTGGTGATTGTGGTGGTCCACTTTTCACTTTTAGATTCAGGGGTCTTGGGTCAGGAATCATCCTCCTCAACTGTGCAAGGTTACCATGATGGTCGGTTACCAGTGTGATTGAGTTAACTACCTCCCTTTGATGGGTGTCTTGGTTGTTCCTGATCCCCATGCAGCACTTGGTGAATCTATGGTACATTTTCAGCCCCTCCGGATTGAACAGTTTTATTCCTTGTCCGAACTTTCACGTGACCTTATTAGCTCAGATCCATCTGGTGTTGCTGAAAGATTTCTTTATGGTGTCCATGGACCTGAAGGATGCATACTGGCATGTTTCTATTCATCTGAGGTTCAAGGGACTGATTAAAGTTCATTGTGGGGCATCTAGCTTACAACTTAAAGGCTTTATCTTTTTGCTTGAATCTGGCTCCTTGGATCTTTACCAGGTTAGCAAGAGTAGTTATAACCCACCTACATCTTTTGTGGGTTCATGTCTTGACCCATCTTTATGACTGGCTTGCATGTGCTTCAATTCAGTCCATGTGTCTGCAAGCCATGGATTCTTTCGCAGCTTGCTAGTTTCAGGCATGTTTCGAGCACCAGAGTGCACCTCTTCCTTTTGATCTTCCATTCTTTTTCTTGGAAGATTCATAAGTTCAGTCTTTGGTAAATGTGTGGCCTCATTGTTTAGCTCTTCCTCTCCCCAGTTCATCAGCTCTGACTCACTTCAAATCTCATGAACACCTGTGGCACCTGTTTATCATTATTTGAGAGCTACAAGAATCAGAACAGCTCCTCTGATTCCCAGTTCCTTAATCCTCATGCTAGGCTGTTGTATACAAAGGCCTGGTTCTCCCAGATTGTTTTCTAGGTAGTCAAATTAAATTATTCTGGGGGACTATTTTTAAACCCAAGATCTCGGCAAGTTTGCTGCTTCGACAGCATTTTTTATCCTATTTTGACAAGGTGCTAGAAGCTCATTTATTTCCAGATTTACTTCGTTTTGGTGTTACTATGTAACATTAGGCTGCCTGACTCGAGTTTGATATCCATCTTCTCCTTTTCACAGTCCTGGTCAACCCGTTCTAGTAAAACATCGCATTTTGACGTATACTTTACCTAAAGCCAAAAATCGTCATTCTAGAAAATGGTCAACCTGTCCTCCTAATAGAACGTCACATTTTGACGTATACTCGACCTAAAGCCAAAAATCGCCGTACTAGAAAATGGTAGTGGCTCGCAAAATTTACACACACTCCCATTTTCTGTTTTGGATCCACTGGTAGGTTAGGATAAGGGCACTTTAGTATGACAGATTTTTTTATGTTAGGAAACCTTAAAAGGACAGGCTGTTGTTGTAGCTATTACTGTCATAAATACCTGTATGTGGACGTTTCAAATCCACATTTTGTTTATGTATTACATTATTTTGTTTCAGATGTAGTGTTCAATTTCTCTTCAAGTTGCTGTAGGAAGGAATCTCATGGTAGCTATCAAGGGGGCTAGCTCAGAAATAAAGCATTTAGTGTAATGAAATGCCCCTCTATGGGCAGCACTTCAATAGTTTCTTTTTGTTCCAATACCTTTATCCCATCTTTTTTAAGTTTGGCAGGGATTGCTTGGACTCAAGAGTGAAGTGGTTGTTTTTCCTGGGCCTTGAGTGGATCAGGCCACTATCTTGTGATGGTTGGGGTAGCAGATTTGTGGTTATCTGATTCTTTTTAAGTTGGATTTGGCAATTCAGTGTTGCCAAATATTGCGTGGAGGAGGGCGTGTGTTTCAATGTCTCGCAGTTTTTTGTGGCTGGTTTACCTCTGAAGTAGGCCAATGTCTGATTCTTACAAGCTTCTCACCCTCATAAAGATGGCAAAATGATTTGCAGGGGTATCTGTCCTTAATGGATTAAGTCATTAGGAGCCTAGAATATTTATTCTCTTATTTATTATGGTGATGTAATCTGAGCAGAACTCTCAAAGTGCTGCCCAGATAAGGACATTTCATTACGATGTACATTGCATTTTTGCTTAATAATTTTTCTATTGATTAGATTCCACATATTGACTGGGAGAAATATAACGTCAAGTCAATTATGCAGGGAATGAGACCAAAGACACGGAAACGAGTTCTTCAAGAGAGCCTCGCCGCACAGCAGCCAACTCCGGTAACATTTAAAGATCTCTTTACAAACTAAATTAATTTGGTTTACATTCAGATGTCTGAATTTCACTTTAAATTACACTTTCCAATTGTGAAGTCATTATGCAGTGAGCTATTGTTATACCATTAATTTATAACTTACGTGAAATCCAAAGGATGAAGCTGTGTCCCATAAAATTATACTATTCAACCATTGAATGTCATATAACCTACACTTAACTCTATTTTTGAGCTATTCCACTTGGATACTCACTAAGGCAAAAGTACTGAATACTGTATCCTAATTGACATTCAGAATGTGTAATTGCCCCATTGTCACAGGCAGTTCTCAATTTACACTAGGGTTTCTGTTTTTCTAAGACAATTTATTCATATTGCACAAATCATATTTAAAGGTCCTGTATGTAGAAAAAAACAAGAAGCTGTGGAGCATCATACAGAACAGTTTGAGTGGAGTGGGTCTTTTTGGGCTTTGGTATTGGTTTGATGTCGGTTCTTTTTCTCAATTAGTGAGGATTTGTTTCCATCTCCAGGTGGCTCACCTTCCACCTACCAGTAAGTTTTTTTTTTTTTTTTTTTTTTCCAGGGATATTCCTGCACAGGCCCTAAACCTCTGGCTGGCCCACTAAGTAATGCTTGTTTTTGTTTTACTTGGGCGGAGTATGAGTATTTATGACTCGTATGGTCGCTTCAGTAAGATTTTGTCCCACGTGTTTAACAACTTTTGTTCTGTTGAATCAAAGTTGAAATCTTAATGGGTTTGTAACTCTGCACTTTGTTAGATAATGTTCCAGTGGTTTATCGGGCATTTCTCCACAGTGCTGACATTTCCTCTCATCTTCCAGAACCTGTAAGCCTATTTCCCATGCACATGTGTATCCAAGTCTGGTGCGATGTAAGTGTACTTCTGTTGTTCTACTGCTCCCTTTCATGAAACTAAGTGGTTCGTAGTTGGTTGAATTCTTGTACCAACCCCCAGATCCTGATGTTGTAACTGCTGTGTTGTGGTCACTGTACATCTTTTGCATTGCTCTGTTTCTAATTACTTTCTTAATCTGTGATAGACTCTGTGTATGTAAATGTCTACATTTCTTTTCTTAGTTGCAAGTTTTGCAGCTTCGTCTGCAATGTCATTTCCTATTAGTCCCACATGACTTGGCACCCAGTTGATAAGTACCTGTCAGCCTTGTCGTTTGAGTGTTTGCATTAATGATATGACATTTGTGATCAGATGGATGTTATTACATATGTGTTCTTGTTGCAAGGTTTTAATGGCAGTTCTCGAATCTGTATGTATGATAACATGTTGTCGGTGTTCAGCAAGAGCCTGTTCCAAAGCCTTTTGAATAGCTAGCATCTCTGTTTGTAAAGGCGAACACCCATTTGAGAGTCTCCAACTATTTACAGAGTTTCCTGCTTAAACTGCAGCTCCGGTTTCTTGTCCTTGCTGGTCTACTGATCCATCTTTGAAGTAAGTGAAGCTGATAAAGTCTTAGTCCATCCACTTGGATTAAGTTGTTGGGAACTGATCCTTATCTCCATCTTCATACCCCAGCTCCTATCCTGTCCTCATAGCCCTTCCAGTGCTTTCCCTTTTGTCATTTCACTGTTTTAGATAGTCCCATCGCTGAAGAGAGAGAGCTGCCTTTCTGTTGGCTTTCAAGTCTGTTTATCAGGTCAGTGAGTTCCATATCCTTTGATGGATGAAAAGTTCATTATTATTAGTTTCTGAAAATTAGTTTTTTTAGACTCTTTAACACCCCCCCATTCTTTATTAGTGAAAAGTGAGTGTCTTTTCCTCTGAAGCTTCTAATTGAAATATGGGTTGTGAGGCTGCATGTTCATCTTGCCTTTTGTCAGGTGGTGGTGCTAAGACATGACACATCTTGCAAATTTATGCTGTGCTAACTGCCTTTTTCTTCTTGTTCCCCAGCAACATAAGGAACCAGGGCTTCTAGTCCACTGGTCCTTGTGGTCCAGTTTTTCTTGGGTAGTTGTCTGTCAAGTGCTCGAGGTTTGCAGTCAGTAGCACTGGTCCTGCTGTCATGGCTACTTCTGTTGCAGTTAAATGTTATTCTGGGAAGGTTCCATGGTAGCTTCTTATTTCTAGCTGCCTGGTCAGCTCTATATATATAAAGAAACACCAGGCCCTTGTAAGGCATTAAAAGCCAACTGGGAGCCAGAGGTCAAAGCCGGTCCTTCTTCACAGAGGCACAGAGAACAGCAGATTCTTGATCACTCAAACCAAGAAACAAACTACCAGATAGAGTGGAAGAAAGCAGACAACAGCGCAAATCAAAATAACTCTGAAAATGAGGCACCCAGTAGTTAGGTGTACCTAGGTGTAGTGTTAGGTGTACAGGGTTAGGTAGTTAGGTGTTAGGTGTTCCTACTAGCACCTGCTAGTCGTAACTGCCAAGTACCAAGGGTAGCACCAGGAGCTCCCAGACTACCTAGTGCAGGTTCATAATCATTTGCCTGGTGCATCGACATTCATATCAGTTCCTCAAGTGTCCTGTTTCTTGTTCCATTGCCTGTTTGTCTCAGGCCGTTTGCTGTGTCATTAAGTTTAACCTGCACTCTACCCTCGGGTGCACAATGTGTGGATGTTTGCAGTTTTGTGCAACATGTTTGTTTTACAGTATATGTTTTGGGCTAATGTATGGGCTCAGGACTTTTGGCAGTTGGGTTGTTGGATTATTAGGGTATTAAGTAAGTCATGGAGTTTGGTAATTTGACATTCCCAAATAATACTGTACGTGAAGGGAAGTTTAGTATTTTAAATTTACTTTGGTGTTTTGTTAGTTAATTTCTGATCCCAATGAGCTTCCTGCCATTTGGAGAGGACCAAACAGGTGGTAAATTTATCAGGCTCTGGAGTGCTAAGATTGTTACTGGAAGCCTGGTATGTTAAATGTCCTCTACGTGGTGGTGACGTAAGATGAGGGGAGGTACCTAGGTGTAGCCCAGAGATGGAGGTTTCATTACACTCGGCACTTTTATTTTTTAATCTTCATATCATGTTGTTAACTTTGTCTCTAGATATCATTTATTTTCTTTCCCAATTAATAACATTAAAGGTAAAATACTTTTATACATACTGCCATAGGTTCTGATACATCTCCACCTAACCCTCAAATAAATTTTATCATGTACAGTTCCTGTTTTATTTCATTTAAACAAAAACAGTTATCAAAAGTTAATTGGTTATTAATGACTGTAATTTTCCTTACAGGACAGTAAGGAATTAGTAACTGAAGATGGGAAGATTATGGTACGTGGGCGGGTGTATGATGGCAGCAAACCACAAACTTTTAATCAGTCCTGGACTGATGAAGAGCAACGCAAGTAAGTATAATTATATTTTTGAGCTTATTAATTTTGTTGCTCCTAAAATATATAGATGATGCTGTACTTGGTCCAAGATATGCACAGGCAAGCAAGTTGATATACTTGCTTCAGTATCTTGGGGATCTTTTCAAAATATTTCATCAGGGATGTTTGAAAAGGGATGGGATGGGACATATGGAATCATTGTAGATAGTATCAGTTCAGCCAAAAATGAGACAAAAAGTCTGTTCATAAAATACAGCCTTTCAAAGCATCCATAATATCACCTATGTAACTGCCAATGCAGGCGATGTGCCACAATAATGTGGCTGAAGTATGTTGACCAATCCACACACTAGAAAATAAAGGGAAGACAACGTTTCGGTCCATCCTGGACCATTCTCAAGTCGATTGTGAGAATGGTGACTTGAGAACCATTCTCGAGTCACAATCGACTTGAGAATGGTCCAGGACGGACCGAAACGTCGTTGTCGTCCCTTCATTTTCTAGTGTGTGGATTGGTCAATAAACTGCCAATTGAAGGTTCTGCTTAACAAATCATCTGTATTTACCTTTGGTGCCCCACCAGTAGCAGCACCACAGTCAGCCCTACCACTACTCGCCCAACCCACCCTAGATAATGTACTTCCTGGCTGTGTTTCTTTTATGCCAGCAGACTGGAACCAGTATTAAGATAAGGTGACCTGTTTTTTCATCCATGCTCTTTGAATAGGGAGTACAAAAGCAGCCATGTTTACTGCAGGGTCAGTGTTTGATCCCTAAGGTTCCAAATGGCTGGGATCTCTTAGTCTGTCCTCCAATCCTTTTCCAAGTGTTATATAGTTATACTGTACTGGCTTAGTGCTTTCTCCTGATAATTACCTTACCTGTCACTTGGTTTGGATCTTGGAGTCCTTAAAATTCATGTCTGCTGGGAAAGCTGTGGTCAGTAGACTAGTAATGTTCGCAGGTTTTTGAGAATCCCTTATTTTGTGCTGGCATACATCTTGCTTTTCTAAGTTGAAGTAGGTGGTTGGCAACAGATGTAGTGTTAAGGAATTGAGTTTGCCCCAATTTAATTCAGAAAGTTCTCCTTAGACTTATCAGGAGAGTTTTGGTGTTATAGGTTGTGTAGTCTGACTGTTGAAGCTTTGGCACAGTTTGTAGACAGAAAAGGTCCACTGTATATTAAATCAATATTATAATTTCTACCAAATGTGGGAGAGGAAGTGAACTCATCGTGCCATATAACATGTTGAAAGTGAGGCTGTTCGTTGGATATATACACAAGGGAACACCCCCAAAGTCCACCAACACATGTGGATGTGTCATCATGGCTTAGAGGAAACTATTCCCTAAATCCATGTCTGTGCATGCTTCACATTTTGTTAAAATTATGAAATCTTAACATGTTAATATTTGACTCTTGGCCACTGGAATTTAAATACCTAAACTGACAAGTAGAATCCATTACTGAATTAACTCGTGAATAAAATATCGGGTTAGTGAATATTCGAAATGGTGTTGGTGTAATTATTATTACATAAATTAGATTATATAATATGCAGAAAACATTTCTAAGGTATGTGTTTTCTGCTAATTATTAACATGCTTTAATAGCATACTGTAGTCCAGTAGTCATAAATAATACTCTCATTTCCAATATAGCTAATTCAGTGACATCTTAAACATTGCTACCTGTCACTCTCAAGTGCTGTACCTATAGTTACTATGCATGCAAGTACAAAATAGGGACTAGCATGCAAATTTGTTCTCCTTGTTTTGCACTATGTATTAATTTTGTAGAGGGCCTAAGAAAGAAGCCAATAACTAAGCCTAACTTTTCCTAAGCCTAGTATAGTATAGTACATATATGTACTATATTAGGCCTAGGATAGGGAAGATTATGATTATTCTGTTACACATTTTTATGACTTTGTATTTATATAGTAAGATTTTTTTTTGGGGGGGGGGTACAACAGTTTATATTTTGTACATTTCATCCCTAATAGCTACCAGTTCCATAGATTTTGGAGCATGGATTGAAACAGTTTTGCTACAACAGCATTATTTCTCCTACTCATTTATAATTAGTATAAGTATTATCTTCATAACAAGTGTCCATTATATTCCAATCCCTTTTCAAACATTTAAGTCCATTGTACTATCTGTAGATAATTTTCAGTGCATCCTGTCTTGTCTCTCCCCACCTCAAGTCCTCGAGTCCAATATACGCTGCATCCTCTCTTGTCCTTCAACTGGAAAATATTCAATGAACTATTTGAGAAGAGTTATTAAATGTTTTACTAAATTCTAAGCTTTTATCTATAAATAATAAAAAAGTCACCCCTTAACTGCACATCGAAAGGGAAGTAGACAATTGTTCCACTCGTGCTATTTAATTCCACTACTACTTTTTGCATAGTATGCGACTTCCATGAATTCACCTATAAATAATCCTACCCAAAGAGAAACCATATTAAATTATCAGAGATTAACCCTTCACGTGTACACTGTTTAACAATTATTTAACGATACAGTACTGTACAGTTAGTTGTTGTTGTTTTAAGATTCAGCTACTGGGAACAAAAAATTCCAAGTAGCATGGGCTATAGTGAGCCCGTAGTGGACTTGTCTGGCACAAGAGCGGGGCTGTAACTTACTGTACAGTATTTTGATGTACAGTAGTATAATTTTATGTTTAGGTTTATGAATGCCTTTTGTATTCATAGAACACAATTTATATTTTATTATTTAGAGAGTTATTTTTTATGTTAATTTAGTGTTGTTTTGCAGACTTGAGGAACTTCTAATTAAATATCCTGACGAAGTCATTGCTTCTCATCGATGGCTTAAGATTTCTAAGGAACTTGGTATGTACAGGCTAATACTTTTAAATTTCCTTTTTCAAAGTTAGTCAAACATAAAAAAATTTTACAGTGAATTTTCAGTACTTGTTGACATGCCAGTAGTGCAGGGTGCTTATGTGTGGTTTTTAAGGCTTGCCACTTATACCCTTAACAGATTATATTTGCCTCTTGGCTGTTTTTGGCATCTGATATCTCAGTGCTTCCTGCTTGGTTATCTGTTGGGACCAGCAAGACCCCATGGTCCACGGGCCTTCTGCTTAGCTGGCCCTTCAATTCCACACTCACTTTGGTGTGACTTTGCCGGATGGCTTTCGGTCTTATTGTATTCCAATGGCAGACTGGTCCTACCTCCACTTATGGATGGCTTAAGTCTTTAATTTGCTTGGTCCTTTGTGCTTTTTATTGGGGGGGGGGGGAAGGGGCCACCACCTGGTGGTGCCTCTGGATAGTTGGATAAGTAGGGAACTAGCTTGTTCAGAATTTTGTTAGGATTGGTATTGCTAAATATTACTTGGAGGGCATTTTAGTGTTTTGATGCTGTTTCAGTAATTTATGGGGAATTTTCTTCTTTAGTTGGTTGATTTCTTATCTCTACGAGGTCATATGGAGGGAACTGTCAGCTGGAGAATTAGTTGTTCCCGGTATGCTGATATTGTCACCATTAACCTGGCATACTCACAATGTCCTCTCCATGTATGTGACAAAATCAAAGGAAGCTATGAGGTGTTGCCCAGAAAGGGACATATCATTACACTCATTCAATTGTTTTCAGAATAGTATACCAGCCTTTGAGCACTATTATTCATCATGGAATGTGAATTTAACTCTAAAACTTGTACTATTTTAATAGGCTAAATAAGGGTTGGAGTACAGTATTTGACAGATTCTGTATGTACATGTCATATGCATACATAATCAGTTTACATACATGATGTAGTGCTATGGATATTGTGCACATTGCTTGTTCAGTCAGGTTAGGTACTGTTGGGTCTTGGGTAGTAACTGGATGCATAACTGTGGACATTACCTTGGCTAAGGAATCTTAACAAGCTATGAAGGGCTCTCTGACCTCAACAAGGGTATACCTTTATGATATGTACACACATTCCTAATGTGAAAAAGTTCAGCTTTTATTAAGTGAAATTTTGACTAATGAATGTATTTTTATAAAAAAATTAAGTGGAAAGACAAATATATACCATTAGTCCTGTATTGTCATCTCATTATCTGTATGTAATATTGTTTTTACCTAACAGGAACACGAACACCACTTCAAGTTCAGAGTAGAGTACAGAAGTACTTCATTGCACTGAAGCGTGGAGGCCTACCAGTTCCAGGCAAAAATCCAAGAACAGCTGTGTTAAGGAAACCGGTAAGCCATACTAGTCCTATCTATATCATCATATTCATTGCTCATTCTTGGTTTAAACTTTAAAATGTTTTTCTCCTGATAGTGACTTCACAGAGAATCTTGACAGAACATTTGTTCTTTAATTTGTGTCCTGTTTAGAAGGGAAGGCTCTTGGTGGGTTCAGTTAGTGACAGGGAGCCGGACATTACACATTGTCCAAGCTGTGTTGGTGAAAGGCACTGAGCTGAGCTGAGCTGAGCTGAGCTGAGAGGAGAGGCGCTATCAAGATGTTGCCATTTTTTTATTATTAAATATTAATATGTAATATATTTTTAATATTTAATTTAAAAGCTAATATTGTCTGATTCAAAAGGAATTCCATATGCAACAGAAGTCTGATTGTATCTAATCCAGATTGGTAGGATTTCATTGTAGTTTATTTTTAGGCTGGACGAAGGCGTGGCACATTCCTTTATGCACTACAATCAGGAAGAGGTTCCAGTTTTATGAGAGCATTCAACATGTATGAAGATGAAGAGCAGGGACCTGATTTCGGCGGCAACAAAACTAGTCACACAGCTACTGGTGTCTTTGATGATGAGTTTTCAAGTAAAGGGGACTTTTTAAATGTTGAGGAGGTATGGTATATAAAGTAATATATTTTTTTTAAGTATTAAAATCCAAGTAATACAGTAATAACAGTACAGTAATAACTTAAAAAAAATTGTAAATATTTTAAGTGTACTCTTGTGTTCAGAATTTATTGCTAAAAATGTCCGCACATTTTTGTATGTAGACTACTCATGAAACATACTATTATATATATTACTGCTATCTCCACTGGAGGACTGTTATAATTTTTGCAGCTATCTCCACTGGAAGACTTTTAGATACAGAAGAGATACAGTACATTGTATTGTACAGTGGGGATAGGTTCATTCTGTTGCATCTAACTTTCCAGTACAATACACTGATTTTTCATTTCAACAAAAGTCAAGTGTTTATACACTGATACTTGGCAGATATCACCCCATCTCATGTAAATAATAATAATAATTTATTCACAAGGTACAATGGGTTGGTGAGATTGCATAAGATTGCTATTTTTACATTGTTGCAAAGCCACTAACATGCATTGCATTTTGGGCAGGTCTTTAATATATCGCATCAGGTAAGATGAAAAGGTACATTGTAACAAGGTTCTATATCTACAAATAGATACAATATAAATTGACAGATGATTACACTGATAAAGATACTGTATATGTCTTGAGTACAGTACAGCTGTACTAATATTGGGGAAGTCGGTAGTACAAGATATAGTGAGAGGGTGAAGCGCATGGTAAGGAAACTATGATGAGATTAGGTACTTTTTGGTTTTACTTTTGAATAGGGCATAGGTTGGAAAGTTTTTTCTAATTCATCAGGGAGAGTGTTCCAAAGACTAGGTCCTTTTATTTGCATGGAGGGTTTACACAGATTTAGTTTGACTTTGGGGATATCAAAGAGATATTTTAGAGAATAGTGAAAGTGATGATAATAATTACGTTAGTAAATAAGGCTTTAATGTACCTGAAATGCTCTTTTCTGACCAGGACACTCGTGCTTCCTTAGGCAATTGTCCTGCTCTATCAGGAACAGTCTTCCCATCCTGAAATAGTGTAATACTATATCCATGCTGTAATGGTATCTTGTCTAATACGTAATGGTATTAATGTATTCATAACACCCAAAAGTAAGGAAAGGCGGGAGGCATTAAGAGAATTCTCAGTCTAGCCCTGAATGATTGCCAGAAAGTGCATTCATATTCCCCCCAAAATCTTTTCAAAGTAATACTTTGATTCAAATTTGTCCTTTTGTGTACCATTTTGTGTGGTGGATCAAAGTGGTAATATGATGGGAGATGTCTTTAGGTATTTTGTCATGATTGAGCCAGGCAGTTTTGGCTTGGATAGTTTTGTTTGAGTCTTTGTTACACTGTCTCCCACCCCCTCTTGGGATTCTGTGGGCCTTCCCATTACTGTGTGTGTATTATTGAGAGTTATTCGTCATGGGTGAGGGTCATTCATTTTGGGTACAGTTCTACCTCCATTCAAAATTGTACAGTGACAAAGAAGAGAATAATCCTTGACCTGTCCTGTGTCAGTGCATTGCTCCCATGCCTGACTTTCTAAGTGACTGCTGTATCTTTGATCTGGTGGGTTTTGTCTCCTAGGTTATTTCTTGGGCCTCCAGGATGCTTGTTGGCATGTTCCAATTCATCTGGAGTTCAGGGAATGGTATCATGAATACACCCTTCTATTTTAGGGTGTATTCAACCACTCTTCACTTCTGGTTGTCCAAGACCATTGTCCAGGCTGACCCAAGAGGTGCTTAGTATGCTTCAGTTTGAGTGTTCAGGGTTTGACTGGTTCATTTGGTGGTGCTGGGTAGATTCAGCACCTTTGTCAGTTGCCCAAAGTCTCTGTTCAAGCCTTTTTAGAACCTTGCATGATTAGGTATAGTGTGAAATACTATGTCTTCCTGCTGGAAGCCGCAACAGACTGACTGATTTCTCATTTCCAGCTGGTTCTGGAGAAACATCTATTTTGTCCATGTTTTGAGTGACTGCATAGCAGGCTCATTTTACCCTGCATCATTTACCCCTGGGTCAGCTGCAAAAGTTACAAGTTTTTCTGCTTTCTTGCTCATCACTAGTAGTGGAATTACAGGGTCCCCCATTTGGCCTTCAAAAGTTGAATTCTTTTGAGATTACCATTAGCAGCATTTTGGACTTTCTTTTAGTGGATGGTTAACCCCTCCATTTTTAAATTCTTCTTGGACATCTCTCGTCCTGCTTATACGCTCATTTCCATCACAAGGGTCATGGGGGCAGTAGCCTTTAACTTCAGGTTTTGCACATAGATATGTGTGGGAGTTGGTGGTGATATACTTTGTGCTGAAGTGCCAGAATCTGCCAAGAGGCTCCGTGATTTGATTCCATTCGGATATGTATCAACAAAAAGGGATTGGCTCGATACCTCCTACATTGGCAGTGGTCTCTCGACATTTATCTCCTAGCTTTTCTGGATTTAATTATCTCAGCAGAGTATACAATGAACAGGGAGTGATGCTTTATTATTATACAAAATATTCAATGTTACCAGGTTGGGCCTGTTCCACTCTGGATGAAACACAAGCTACCACTTATGCATCTGGTTTCCCACGATTATGATGCATTTGTAGTGGATGATTTGTATCTCAATTTGAACCAGTTAGTTTATCTTGTCTGATAAAGATGCTGCTCCATTTACTGAAGAAGCTGGAGCCCATTGCTGGCACTCCTATTGGACCCCCCCCCCATTTGGCTGCTCCAGTTCAGGTTTTTACTCTTGTTTGCCTGTTGGCCTAACCTAGCCTACATATAGAGGAATGCCCGTGACCTCAATTCAAGCCATTAAAGGCTCTCTGCTGATCTTTGTGAAGTTATTGGACCTGATCTGTCACCCCCTTTTTCTGGGGAAAAGGTAGTGATAGTGGTTTTTGTCCAGTTTCATCTTTTGTCATTTCATTGATAGTACAAAGTTGCCTGACATTTGCCCCTCCTTTTCCCAGAGGAAGAAAGAGGCTGCTAAGGCTTTATCTGGGGCAGGTGCATCATTCCAATTGCTTCAATAGGTGCTTTGGTTGAATCCAAACTGCTCTCTCATTCTAAGAGGCTTGGCTGGTTGTTGAGATCTCCAACTTTAATATGAGGTTGTGGTCCTAGTGCATTAGTGGTCTGAGTACATGCAACCCCCCATCTCCCTTCCCTTCCCCTCCACTGTGGTTTGTGATGTGGCAGAGTAGGAAGCCACCCAAAGATGGTTGTTTTTGAGTTTCCGTGTTCCAGTATCCCTTTCATGGTTAGAATGTTTGGCTGTCTTCTGGCAGGCGTGGACCCAGGATGCCTGATCTCTGTGGGTAGGTTATCTTGAGGTTATCTTCAGATGATTTCGGGGCTTTTAGTGTCCCCGCGGCCCGATCCTTGACGAGGCCTCCACCCCCAGGAAGCAGCCCGTGACAGCTGACTAACACCCAGGTGCCTACTTTACTGCTAGGTAACAGGAGCATAGGGTGAAAGAAACTCTGCACATTGTTTCTCGCCGGCGCCTGGGATCGATCCCAGGACCACAGGATCACAAGTCCCGCGTGCTGTCCGCTCGGCCGACCGGCTCCCCTGTGTGGGTAGTTTCATACTTTCATACACAAATTGTTAGACAGGAAGATTATGACAGTGATGTACTCTCTTCACATGGCAGTGAAGAGAGTACATTACTCAACTGTTTCTTGTTCTGGTTCTGCATCTTGTAGGTTCCAGGTTCTAGCTTACCTTGAAGGCTGGTTGCCTTGGACTCACAGGCCACCAGCTCCAGGAAGCAACTGCAGGTTCATGTCAGAAAGGAGAATTTGTAAATAAATAACGAACGTTATATAAAAAAGTAAATTTAAGGGCACAGACCCTGCTGGCAAGGAAAAGCAACTGATTGAAAGACGTTTACACAACTCCCACTACTAAAGTGAGAATATTTACCCAGCATCTTTCACTATCTTGTTAGCCATATTTTTTAAGGTACATGTTATTAACTAATTCATGTTTTTAGGACGAGGAAGATGTTGCAGAAGAACTTCGTAATACCGAGGACTACCAAGAGATGTTGAGGTTAAAACAAGTTAAATTGCTGAAACTCCGTGAAATGGAAACTGGCATTGTCTCTCATCCAGGATTCACAGTAAGTCTGTCCCAAGCAAAAATATAAGTGTTGAGAATAATGAAACCTCTTTTCTGAGATGGCCACATTCAGTCATTATCCAAGACAATATAGTATACTGTGGGGGACAGGGGCACTTCAGACAACCAACGTGACCATTTCATCTTGCACATAGCAAAGCTCTTTTAAAACTCCCAATATCAGTCAGTAAGCAAATGGAGGTAGGGAGACACTGACATTTTCTTTTATGCCGCCCTGAATAATCCTCAAACGGTACATTCCATTTGCTAATACGTATATATATATACAGTATATATATATACAGTATATATATATACAGTATATATATATATATATATATATATATATATATATATATATATATATATGTCGTACCTAATAGCCAGAACGCACTTCTCAGCCTACTATTCAAGGCCCGATTTGCCTAATAAGCCAAGTTTTCATGAATTAATGTTTTTTCGTCTACCTAACCAACCTAACCTAACCTAACCTAGCTTTTTTTGGCTACCTAACCTAACCTTACCTATAAATATAGGTTAGGTTAGGTTAGGTAGGGTTGGTTAGGTTCGGTCATATATCTACGTTAATTTTAACTCCAATAAAAAAAAATTGACCTCATACATAGAGAAAAGGGTTGCTTTATCATTTCATAAGAAAAAAATTATAGTAAATATATTAATTCAGGAAAACTAGGCTTATTAGGCAAATCGGGCCTTGAATAGTAGGCTGAGAAGTGCGTTCTGGCTACTAGGTACGACATATATATATATTATATATATATATATATATATATATATATATATATATATATATATGTCGTACCTAATAGCCAGAACGCACTTGTCAGCCTACTATGCAAGGCCCGATTTGCCTAATAAGCCAAGTTTTCATGAATTAATTGTTTTTCGGCTACCTAACCTACCTAACCTAACCTAACCTAACTTTATCGGCTACCTAACCTAACCTAACCTATAAAGGTTAGGTTAGGTTAGGTAGGGTTGGTTAGGTTCGGTCATATATCTACGTTAATTTTAACTCAAATAAAATTGACCTCATACATAATGAAATGGGTAGCTTTATCATTTCATAAGAAAAAAAACTGAGAAAATATATTAATTCAGGAAAACTTGGCTTATTAGGCAAATCGGGCCTTGCATAGTAGGCTGAGAAGTGCGTTCTGGCTACTAGGTACGACATATATATATATATATATATATATATATAATATATGTCGTACCTAGTAGCCAGAACGCACTTCTCAGCCTACTATGCAAGGCCCGATTTGCCTAATAAGCAAAGTTTTCCTGAATTAATATATTTTCTCATTTTTTTCTTATGAAATGATAAAGCTATCCATTTCATTATGTATGAGGTCAATTTTTTTTTTATTCGAGTTAAAATTAATGTAGATATATGACCGAACCTAACCAACCCTACCTAACCTAACCTAACCTATCTTTATAGGTTAGGTTAGGTTAGGTAGGTTAGGTAGTCGAAAAAACATTAATTCATGAAAACTTGGCTTATTAGGCAAATCGGGCCGTGCATAGTAGGCTAAGAAGTGCGTTCTGGCTACTAGGTACGACATATATATATATATATATAATATATAATATATATATAATATATATATAAAATATATATATATATATATATATATATATATATATATATATATATATATATATATATATATATATATATATATATATATATATATAAATAATATGTGTGTATACTGGCAGCAGGTTTTCTTTTAAACATGTCTCATTGAATATGAGCGCATATTCTGCATTTACTATCTTCTGATTTAGGGCTTCTATCCCTCTAACTATTTTCCTAGCATCAGGGCTTAGCTGAAAGGAGTTCTCCAAAACTCATTTTCGTTATTTCAAAGGTGAAGAAAAAAGTGAATTACTATAGAATGTATTACACTTATTTATACAATTTGCACAACGTTTTGAACCTCCATGGTTCATTCTCAAGTGAAAAGAAATTACAAAACTCTTTGATTTATACCCGTACAGGGTCAGGTGTTAAGACAAGTACAATAAAGGTAAAAACAAGGGGAGGATACATAGGGGATAAATGCAGGACGAAGCACATACAAAGATTAATCAGGTGTAATTGGCCTGTTATGTTGAACAGTGTCTTCTGTGTTGGCATCGTTATGTTCTGGTCTTGTCCTTGCTCTCATGGTGGGTAGAGTAAATAGTTCCATGATGTGGGTGTTCATGGTAGGTTGACTTACCATAACACCCGAGTCAGGTGTTGACAAAGGGCCAGATGGGCCGAAACGTTCATCTCTCTTTCCCATTTCTCTGTCGATTTTCCGCATACAAATGATCAGTGTTTAGTGATCGTCAATTGCATATATATGTATATATAATAGAGAGAGAGATTTTAAGAATTTTGAAATGACTTGTATAGCCTAAAAGCCTGGGAAAATATCACTAGGCAAATGAGATAGGATAGGGTTTATTTTAAAAGGAGAATTTAACTGAATATACTATTAACATAGCAAGAAAATAATACCCAAGTTGGTCTGATAAATGCTAGAGAGGTATGCAGAGAGAATACTCTAAATACATATGCATGAAGCATTCACTAAGAAAAGCCCACCATACAGGAGATTAGAGTTCCCAGGTTCATCTATAGTAACTTAATAATTGATCCCATGCAAGCCACTAGAAATGATGTATAATGAAAATAGTCCAACTACAAAGTAGATACTGTACAAAGATTGCAATGTCATTGGAAGATTGGCAACATCAGTGGGATGTTTCATTAGGGAACAACTAAGTGCCTCTGAAATGACATTTAAAAACATTTGCTCTTTAGAATATTGCCTTTATATAAATATTTTTCTTAAATTATGAACATTACTGAACAGTACTCGAGATCCCCCTTTTTTCTATTAAATACTTTCATGCAACTCATCTAAGCACTTGGCCACCTAGCAAAGTATAAGGATTATCTCGACAAACAAACCAATGATAAACATCAGAAACGTAACAGAAATGAGCAAGTAAACAAAAGATAGAAGCTGTGGTGTTCATTAAAGCCCTGCATGAAATCTGTAAGCAATAAACAAACAACCGACAAGTGGTATTCACAGCCATATTGTGAATTACTTACCAAGGAGTATTATATATGATGTTTTGTGGTTACAACCTTATTCTTCATCCTGTATTGTTTTTCTTTGTTTATATTCCTTTTGTCTATTTAGGTTCCTATTCCTGTCCGTGACTGATCATTTAACATTTCTCTCACAGTGTGACGTGTGTGGCATGGAACCGATTATGGGGATACGCTGGCACTGTGTTGAATGTCCAGCCTCTACAAGTGTTGATCTGTGTGAAAAGTGTGTCAAGACTAACTTCTCCTTAAATTCCCACCGTCCATCTCATATATTGCAGCCAATTAAAGCACTCTGTATCCGGGATACTGTGGTAGCATTATCCTAAGAAAAAGAAAAATTTGATTATAAGGTTGGTTTTGCTCGTGCTGTCCCCCTCCCCGCTCAGCTCGTTGTCGCCGTGTGGGGGCTTAGTGGGCGGCTGCCGGAGTGTGATGCTCCTTGGGACAGTCCTCTGTCCTTTTCTAGCCTTGTGCTCCTGCTGCCGTCCTCTCCAATTCTGCTGGGCATCTTTTCCTTTTCCTTCTGTTTCGTTTTTCTCCCCCCTCTTCTCCTATCTGCTTGCCGTTTCCTACCGACCTTTTGCTCGTTCTGGTTCTTCCCTTGGACTTCTTCTATTTTGACGCCCGGGTGCTTGAGGAGGCATACTCGTGCACCCGTAGAACTGCAGTACCCGACGTCGAGAGCGAGGGGAACCTTTTATTGTCAATCCCCACTTCGTCACTGAACCCGATCTCGACGGACTGTCGGTTTCTTAAGGTGGCGTTTGTGGGGCGTATACTCGCGACGCACCCCTAGGAGGCCCCGACAAGATCGGCGATAGCTTCTTGTTGGGTGTCCTGCCTCTAATTGTGGCTCCATGGTGGGTGTGGGGGCACATTCGTGAGTGAATTCTTTCTTTCGTCAAGATGATTACCCCTGCTTCGGCTTCTTCTGGTTTACCTTCTCAGGCTCGTGGGGTGGGCGACCAAGCCCCCGAGTCGGTTCGTATTGGAAGACCGGGCTCTGTAGCCTCCGCTGCATTGGGCCCCGACCTTGCTCCTCCTTTGGCCTCTCTGACTCCTTCCTCTGGCTCCCCTCCCTCCTCTGTGGTTGGGTCGAGCCCCAAGCCCCCAGTGGTGACTACCTCGTCCCCTGGCGCGGCTCCTTCTCTAGTTGTAACTACTGCGCCTTTTAACCCCTCTCTCTCTGGGGGTTCTCACCGCCGTCCTCGTCACGGCCGCCCTCGCTCGATTCCTTCCAGTTCTGCTACCTATCAAGCCTTGTTTGGTCCCGCTTCGTGGGCCAAATATTTTGATCTCCTCCCTCTTGATTCTGCGCCTCCTGACGATTTCTCCCTCCATCGACATCTCATTGATTCCGTGGATGCCTCCATTACTTTCAACCCCACTCGTCTCGGTACACGTGTCGTTGCTGCTCCTTCTCAGGATGCTGCTTCCCGCTTGGCTGCCTTATCCTCCCTTGGCGAGACCCCCGTTCGGGTCTCGAAGAACGTTCAGTTAAATGCCAGTGTTGGCACTCTTTTGCTCCCGCCCCATGTTGCGACCGGTGTTCGGGACCTGCGCGACTGCCACGACGATATTCGACATATCCTCGCTGCCCAGGGCCATTCTATTCTCCAGGTGGACACGTTTACTCGTCCCCCTCGTGGTAGTCGCCGTCAACCCCTCCGGGTTGTGAAGATTACCTTTGATGGTAGGACCCTTCCACCCTCTGTCATTCTTGCTGGTGCCAGGTGCTCTGTCCAGGAGTACATTCCTTCTCCTCGGCTCTGCAACAAGTGCTGGAGGTTTGGGCATGGTGCCCTCCGCTGCTCCGGGACTGTCTCTCTCTGTCCTTTGTGTGGTGGCGAAGGTCACTCTAAGTCGGAGTGCGCTTCTCCCCAGGCTCGTTGCCTCAACTGCGGTGAGGCCCATCCTACCTTCTCCCGTGCGTGTGTCCATTACAAGCTTGAGGCAGCCGTCCTCAACTTGAAGCACCGGGAGCGTTTATCTTTTCCTGAGGCGAGGCGCCAGGTTCGCCGGCTCCCGCCTTATGCTAATATCTCTTATGCTCGCGTGTTGCGCTCTTCCTCTCCTCGTCCTTCCCGCCTTCCTCAGACTCACAACCGTTTCCGGGCCTTGGACCCTGATGCGCCCACTGCCCCCTCCTCTGTCCCTTTGGGTTCTCTCCCGAAGGATCCTCCTCCTGGTCCTCTGTCTGGGGTTCCCCTTCCTTCTACCCGGTCTGTCGTGTCTTCTGTGTCTTCTTCCTCGTCCCCCTCCGATCCTCCTTCCCATCCTCTTCCTCCGTCTATCGGCTCTCCCCGCCGCCTGTCGGTGCGGGCGGATGTCCATCGCTCTCCTAACGGCCGTCGTGTGTGCTCTCGTTCGGCTTCTCCTGTTGAGACACTGGAATCCGTTGCCCGGTACGTAGTTGCTGGGACACCGGTCTCTTTAAGTCAGAAGCGTAAGCTTGGCTCCTCTCCTTCCTCTTCCCCGGCGGGTAAGAAGGCTTCGCTTTCTTCCTCAGCTCCTCCTTCTGGCTCTGTTGCTCCTTCCCCTCCCGTTTCAGTGCTTGCGCCCCCTGTTCCTGCTATGGAGGTTTCTTTGGCCCCTGCTTCCCTTTCGGTTGCTGCTCTTGCTGGGGTGCGCTCCTCTCTTTCTACTCCCCCTCTTCCTGCTGCTGTCCTTGACTGCTGCTCTCCGTTGTCTCCTCCTCCTCCTCCTCCTCCTCCGGACCCTGCCCGCCCACCTCTGATCTGTTCTCCCGTTTCCTTCCCTCCGTCTTTGCTCAGTTTACCCATGCCCCCTAACCCTGACTTTGCTGACCCTGATCCCGACCCTGATATTCTTTAACGTGCTCTGTTGGTCTTTCGCCTTTGTTTCTTCCTTGTTCTCTGTTTTTGTCCTTTCTCTTCTCGTCGTTGTCCATTCTTCAATGGAACGTTCGAGGTTATTACGCCAATTTCCTCGAACTCCAACTTCTGGTTTCGCGGTTTTCGCCCCTTTGTGTCTGTCTCCAGGAGCCAATGCTTGGTGCTCGTCCTGGTCGTTTTCGTGGCTATTCCTTTCTCTCCCCCCCCCCAGCCATTGCTGGGGCTTCTAATTCTTCTGCTCTCTTGATTCGGGCTGATGTCCCCTTTGTTCCTTTACTTTTTCCTTCGCCTCTCCATTGTTCTGCTGCTCATATCTTTGTGGGGAAATGGTACACAGTTTGTTCCATTTATCTCCCCCCGAGTGTCCCGCTCTCTCTTCCTGATTTGAAACACCTCCTAGACTCCTTGCCGGAGCCTGTGCTCCTGCTGGGTGACTTCAATTGTCGTCATTCTCTTTGGGGTGATGTTCTGACGAATACCCGGGGTCGCCTCCTTGAGCCGTTTCTCCTCTCTTCTTCCCTGTCTCTTCTGAATTCTGGTGAGCCCACTCATTTGGACTCTCGAACTCGCACCCTTTCTTGTCTTGATCTTTCTCTCTGCTCTTCTTCTCTTTACTTAGATTTCACATGGCAGGTTCTTGATGACCTCCATGGAAGTGATCATTTCCCCATCCTTGTTTCCTTTTTCTCTTTTCGCCCTTCCCTCTCTTTCCCTAGGTGGCAGTTTGCTAAGGCGGACTGGACCCTATTTTCCCTCAGTGCTACTCTCTCTGACCTCTCCCTTCTGCCCCTCTCTCGCGCTCTCCTCCTTTTTCATGACACTGTCTTCGACGCTGCCCTCCGCTCTATTCCTCGCTCTTCCTCTCGGGGTCCACGGAAGTGCGTTCCCTGGTGGAATGCGGACTGTGCTCGGGCTGTCCGCTGTAAGCGTGCAGCCTGGAAGAAGCACCGCCGTAGGCAGACGACCGATTCTTTTCTTTTCTTTCGGAAAGCGAGTGCGGTGGCCCGTAGGGCCATCCGTACGGCTAAACGTGAATGTTGGGCATCTTATGTCTCGACAATCACGTCCGAAACCCCTCTGGCCCAGATCTGGAAGCGTATCCGCAAGATAGCGGGTAAGTTCGTTCCCGATGTTTCACCGGTCCTTCACCTCCATGATACTCTTGTGGCGGACCCGTTGCAGGTCGCTTCCGAACTGGGTTCCCACTTTTCTTCTGTTAGCTCTGGTCTTCATCTTCCCCAATCTTTCCTTCTTCGTAAACCTGTCCTTGAGTCTCGTCCTTTAGATTTCTGCACTCATCTTCAGCTTCCCTATAATGATCCCTTCTCTCTGAACTTCGTTCTGCCCTGGCCCTCTGCGGTTCTACGGCGGCGGGCTCCGATGGTATTCATTATGAGATGCTTCGCCATCTCCCTCCGAGCACGTCTCAGTATTTACTGAGTCTGTATAATCGGATCTGGGAGTCGTCGTCAGTCCCTGAGGACTGGCTCGATGCCGTTGTCCTCCCTGTTCGCAAACCGGGGTCTCTGGGTACTTCCCCTAAGGACTTTCGCCCTATTGCTCTCACAAGTTGTGTCTGCAAACTCTTTGAACGTATGGTTAACGTTCGTCTGATGTGGTTCCTGGAACACCATCACCTCCTCTCCCCTTCTCAATTTGGTTTCCGCAAGTGCCGCAGCACGACAGATGTCCTGGTGAACTTGGAGGTCTATATTCGTACTGCTTTTGCTGCGAAGACCTCCGTTGTTGTCGTCCTTTTTGACCTAGAAAAGGCTTACGACACCACTTGGCGTTATCATATCCTATCTCAACTTCATTCTTTTGGCCTTCGTGGTCATCTCCCTCTCTTTCTCCGCAGCTTCCTCTCTCGTCGTTCCTTTCGGGTGCGCCTTGGTACCGCTCTCTCTCCCTCTTTTCAGCAATACGAAGGTGTGCCCCAGGGTAGTGTTCTGAGCACTACTCTTTTTCTGGTTGCCCTCAATGGTCTTCTTTCCTCTCTTCCTTCTGGTGTCTTCTCCGCTCTCTATGTCGATGATCTTACCCTTTGTTGTCAGGGTGATGATTCGCCTCTCCTTCAACGCCGGCTTCAACTTGCAATTGATGCCGTGTCGTCTTGGGCCACAGGTCATGGCTTCAAGTTCTCTACTTCTAAGACTTGTGCCATGACTTTTACGCGGAAACGGGTTGTTCTTCGTCCCTCTTTGTCACTTTATGGTCATCCCCTTGAATACAAAGATTCCGCGAAGCTTTTGGGGTTATTCCTTGACACTCGTTTGTCTTGGTCTCCCCATATCTCTTACCTCCGTGTTGAGTGCTCTAAGGCCCTTACCCTCCTTCGGGTCTTGTCCCATACTTCTTGGGGGGCAGATAGGCGCACTCTCCTTGCTTTACATTCCTCTCTCGTCCTGTCTAAGCTCGATTATGGTTGCCCTGCTTACTCGTCTGCTTCTCCTTCTACTCTTCGCCGTCTTGATGCTTTGCACCATACTGGGTTGCGCCTCAGTTCTGGTGCCTT